AAAAAAAAATAGAGAAAAGGGAATGTATGAAGTTTTTTTTTCTTCTCTGATGATGATGAAAAAAATAAATGACAGACATTCGTATATGAGCGTCGAATGTTGAAAAGAGGCCTGAAGTAATATGAATAAAAAAAGAAAAAGAAGACGTGCTTTTTTTTGTAGAATATATATTCTACATAAAGGAAATGATGATGATGATGTTGTTATTTTTCTCGGGATCATATTCTAATTGACAATCATGTATATATATGTATGTTGATTTAAATACATATGCATGCAATGATAGAACAAGCTTCTGTTTTTATAGTAATTGGTTATGGATAAGAATATAAGCAAGAGTCAAATATCAGAAATAAACGATCCATATCCTATATCAATAAATATATATATTTTTTATATTTGAGGTCAGCTAGTAATTCGAAATAGTTACTGAGAAAAAAGAGTACCGAAGAAATGAAAATTCAACTATTACAGTAGATTTACTTCGTTTTCTTGATGTATACCATCGTCGTTAGGATATATATTTGTAGAATTCGTATATACATAGAGTTCTTCGACAAATGGTAGTGAATGTAGTTTATAAGTCGATATTTGAGAGCTCTACACGTTTTCAAGAGTTACAAACAAATGGAATGAAATGTCTGTAAAATTTACATGTCTATTAATAACTAATAATAGAAGTCTTTTCTTTAGTTTTTTAATAGTATATAAAACTGATGTCAAATGGCATTAACAACAAGACATGGCTTATTCTATAGCACTTCAAAGTCTACATTAAAAACAATTCTTCAATAGATGTGAGAGTTTTATTTCTAAGAAATCTGATTAATAAAATTAGCTAAAAAGATATTACGATCAGCAGCTGGTGACGATTCTCTACTGTTTTTGTACGTTACGATCGTTATATTTCACTTGGAATATGATTTAACTATTATCATATGTTACCGTTAATATAAGATGATTTCTAATCAATTCAATTGTATGTTTACAACATAATCAAAATAAAATTAAAATTATCCGTTCTTGTTCAGCTCCAATGAAGCAAATATTATATACTAGATCTTCGTTCCTTACATAAATGCATCCTTGACATCTACATCATCAAACACCGACCTAATCGATATGAACATCTCTTTTATCAAAACAACGCTTTAGCAGTGAATGGAATTGATATTTTTGTTTTTATGAATTTGTATGATCGATTACGAATTTTAATCTCGTCATCAATGACATATTTCATCTTATTTATGTATGTTAAGTAATCTAAAGCTTCTTGTCATTGTGATTTTGTAGTCGATCATATTCACTGTCTAATTGAAATCAAAGAAAATTATTCATCACATAATGAAGATAGAATAAAATTCAAAAAAATAAACTTTCTTCTTAAGCTAAATTCTTCATTAGACCTTGATTTTATCTATTTTGCGAACAAGAATAATGTTGTTCACTTCATTCGCCTTCTCCTATTACGTAGTTATTCACGTAGGAATGATGAACATAAAAATCGCAATCGAAGCTAATTCTTGTAGTAATTGAGTCTATAGCTCTTTCATCAAAAAATTAAATTGTGATCAAAGAAGCAAGTGAGACAGTTCCAGAAGAAACTTTCAAAACTGTAATTATTAAAAATTTCAAAGGTTAAACAAAATATTAATATATTGACATTTTTATTGATTGAATAAATTTCTCATTTTCAATAGCTAAACTCATTGAGAAAATTTTTAACGTGAAACTAATTTATGAGTACATATTGTTTTATCAAAATAATTAACGGAATTATTAGAGAATATATAAAAACAGTAAAAATACATTAAAAAAATATTCTGTTAAGACAAAATAAGCACCGTCAAAAATTCATCCAAATAAATTGAGTTTGTTTGTGTTTATTTTCTAACAGATCTTTAAATACTTCATAATCATGTATAAGTGCATCACTATGAATATTTTTATTTCAAATTTCATATCAAGATAACAATATCATGTACTGTTATTATATTGAAATGTTTACTTGTTGTTTCGTTTCTAATGCATAGAAGAATCTGAAATTGAAAAAAAAATATTTTGATACATAAATCGAAGACTACTAGTGCAGTTAATCATTTGTCGGATAAGATTCCGCATCTTTATGTTGGTGCAGCGTTTTTCTCGAAACTATAAATTCATGATGTATCGACATCTTAAGTGGAATCACGAAAATAATAAACTATACAAAAAACAACATTTAATTCATGTAGAATATGTTCATTTTATGTGAAAAAAATTGATTATCATGATTTTTTTAAAACAAGATAATTAATTGCGTTATATAAAGATTATTGAGTTCGTTTTGTCTGTTGATAAACATGACAATCACATTTGATACAAAATCATTCTAGATTTTATTTTTTCAAGATCCGCAAGCACTTCGACAAAGTTCATGATCCGCTCTAAAGTTTGTTGTTAATGCTAGTTGTGATTTAACACAAAAAAATTAAAGAGTGCACGTGTACGTCGATGGATTAAAATAATATTTTCATCATTGCAGTATAATCCAACTATTTATTTATTTACATGATTTAATAGCTTGTTTAATAGGCTAAATTACTCCAAAAATTTCAAAAATATATTTTCAGATATTTAACAAAGAATTTAGAAATAGATTAGTATTCACGAGAGTAATTTTGTTTATATGTCGGCTCCTCTAAACTAAATTCGTTTCTTCCGACATTGTTGAAACAAAAAGTTTACATGTGCCTTTGTAGACGAAAAAAAAATAAAATATGCCACTATCATAAAAATGTATGTAAAATGAAAAATAATTTCTGTCGTCATTACTATGTCTTCATGTTTGTGTTGTCGTCAAAGCTACAGTCCATTAGCACAAAGAAGATGAAAAATAACTCTGTCTCTCTCTTCGTAAAAAAATAAAAAAGTATTTTTCCCTTTTTTTTACACTATAATAAGTGATGCTGTAAAAAAGGGAATCAAACGTCATTTTTATATTTGCGTGTTGTTTGTCAATGAGTGTAATAGAAAGAAGTATATTCACATCAACTTACAACCATGAGAATAGATTTCAAGAAATACGATTGAGTCTTTTTTTGAGCACTAGTCTTTGTTACGAAATGTATACGTATAAACATTGTTCATTTTTAGATACTACAGCATTATCAAAACAACCATTATTATTTGTACTGAAAAATCATTTTTGGTAAGTATGCTTGAATGTTTTCTCAAATTTTATGAATGTAATGATCACAAAGTCCTGTTAAAACTATGTAGTCGAAAGATGTCTTAAATGTAAACATCTTCGATAAAATATGACTTGTATTGAACTCGACAATATACGGCTAGCTTCATTCTTTTCTAAACTCTCTTTATTGATTACTGAAGATATTGTTGGGCACAACTGTACTTCAACCACCACTACGTGATTTGAAAGACTTTTCTCTGTCAAACTTTGACTAGTGAGAGAGATGACTTTTATATTATTCAACAGGTATGTATATGTCTGGGTCGCCTCGTTGATAAATTCCACTTTCGTCGACGATGAATTTCGATGAATGAATTTCTCACCGAAAGCCCTTAAAAACTGCATATAATCGATCTCATAGGCAACAATCGTATATTGAATAATTCATCTATCATAGCGAGTCAGCTGATCTCCAAGTGGAACGATTTCTAAGTTAGCCGGTTACCACCTAACATGGTCATCAGGTCAAATGTGTACCAACTAAAGTGGTTACAACTCAGATGGGTGTGGGTGTCAGAGTAAAGTTAATGTAATACCAACACTGACACCCACACCCACACGCACCCCACACCCACACCCACACCCACACCCACACCCACACCCACACCCACACCCACACCCACACCCTCAAGTTGTCCCATTTCGAGATTATCTGATTAGGTATCATAGACTAATTATCCAGAACACAATTGTTGCCTATAGAATCGATTCGGAGAATTTCATTTTCGGCGAAGGTAGACTAAATCATCTTTAGCGACAGATGTATAGACCGTTGACCTCTCTTACAATCTCAAAGAGAAAACTGCTATAGCTATAACTTCTGATCAAAAAGAAACTTCTCATAGAAGACTATCTTCTACACTCCGTAATTTACTTATTCATTGGAGAAAATAGTTGAATAAAATATTACTATCAAATTTATACACAGAAATTTTCATCATATTATTCATCTATCTCTAATCTTGTTGTCCGAAAATAATATGCGTAATATAATGATCAGCATTGCGTATCAACTTATTTTGTTCTAAATTTACTATATTTTTCTTCTGCTATGCATATGTACATAGAAAAGACTTACAACAACCATTTCATAGATCAGTAAAGTAACAATCTCAAACACCGGGTACTGTCAATTACTCAAACGTATTTGCATTCTAGATCACTTCACACCATGGCTGCTGAATTTACTGATGAGTCGCAACATGTTTCTCGATTCTCTGATTTTACTTCAGAACCAAGACGAATGCTTTCACCTATCCTAGGCTATGAGAAAGAGCCTCTTGTTTCTCTGGAAGAAGCCATTCATCCTCTCATTTTACTTGTTCCTGAAGTTGAACGCATGGTTTGGACAGTAAAACAAAATCATTTCGATGGTGCACACGGTTTAACTGACGATGAAGCAGCGTCGATTATACTTTATACCATGGAATGGGAACCAAAACATAACTCGTTTTATATCATTTTTAACAATACTTTACAAGCAGCTAACCGACAATTACTGAAACCATGGTTTCTTTATCTTCGTCTCATTATGACGTCTTTAGCCAAACTTCCATCAGACTCTGATCAACTTACTGTGTATCGTGGAGTCAAACTTGATTTAAGTACACAATATCAGAAAGGAAGTACAGTCACTTGGTGGGGTTTTTCATCTTGCACAAGGTCTATCGATGTTTTAGACAACGAAAAATATTTGGGGCAAAGTGGAACAAGAACATTATTTATCATTGACTGCTCTTCTGCCAAAAGTATAAAACAATATTCACTTTTTCCAGAAGAAGAAGAAGAAGTACTGCTTCCTCCAGCTCGACAATTTCAAGTGATCGATTCTCGTAATTCAGCCAACGGCCTTCACATTATACAACTCAAAGAAATCCAACCCGAATTTCCACTCATTAATCCTGTACCACAATCTTCAACACTTCAAGATCCACCAATACCGGTTAAACCCCCTAAATGTAATGATCCCAATTTACAGAAGTACATTGACGCAATGTATCTTGACCAGGTACTTACTATATTCAAACAAACTTCTCCTCAGCAACCATACAACCCTGAATCAAACTTCTCCCAATCTTAAAACACAACATAGTAATTTCTACACTTTTCCCACAGACACTCACCACACTCAACCTACTCTACAATGCAATCGGGGATCAAGGAGCACAAGATCTTGCCAATGCTCTAAAAATAAACAAAGTAACATCAATATTTGCCCTTCTTTCTCTTTACTTCACTTTATCATTCACACACATTTCACACAGACACTTACATCACTCAAACTTTACTACAATAAAATCAGTGATCAAGGCGTCCAACATCTTGCCAATGCTATACAAATCAACAAAGTAACAACACTAGTTGTTTTTCTTCTTGTTCACTTCACTTCGTCATTCACACTCTTTTCACACAGACAATCACCACACTCAATATCGACCGGAATACAATCGGTGGTGAGGGGGTACAAGATCTTGCCACTGCCCTACAAATCAACAAAGTAAGAACAATAAGTGTACTTCTTCCTCTTCATTTCACTTCGTTATTTATACAGACACTCACCCAACTCGACCTGCATTACAATGAAATCGGTGATCAAGGAGCACAACATCTTGCCAATGCTCTACAAATAAACAACGTAAGAATAATAATTGTTCTTCCTTCTCTTCACTTCACTTCCTCATTCCTATACTTTTCGCACAGACACTCGTCACACTCAACCTGCAGAGCAATGCAATCGCTGATCAAGGAGCACAACATCTCGCCAATGCTTTACAAGTCAACAAAGTAACAACAACACCTGTTGCTCTTCCTCTTCACTTTAGTTCATCATTCACACACTTTTCACACAGACACTCACTACACTTAATCTCGATTACAACAAAATCGGTGCCAATGGAGCTATAGATCTTGCCAATGCTCTACAATTCAACAAAGTAACGATAACATTTGTTCTTCTTCCTCTTCACTTCACTTCATCATTCACACACGTTTCACACAGACACTCGCCACGCTCAGTCTTCGATTCAATCCAATCGGTGATGAAGGAGTACAAGATATTGCTAATGCTCTACGAATCAACAAAGTAAGAACAATACTTGTTCTTCTTCCTTTTCATTTCACTTCATCATTCATACTTTTTTCACACAGACACTAACTACACTCCTGCTCCAAAACATTAATATCAGTGCTAAAGGAGCACAAGATTTTGCCAATGCTCTACAAGTCAACAAAGTAACAACACTAGTTGTTTTTCTTCCTGTTCACTTCACTTCGTCATTCACACACTCTGCACACAGACACTCATCACACTCGACCTTAATGGCAATAAAATCGGTGATCAAGGAGCACAAGATTTTGCTAATGCTCTAAAAATCAACGAAGTAACAACAACACTTGTTACTCTTCC